CCTTGGGGCTCTTTCTTGTCAAGAAAACTTTGGGTACATTGGAGCTGTAACATTGTTTCTTTGGTTACGTCAATGATTCTGGTTACTCCGCAATACTCAAACATTGTTCCGCATTGGATGCTTCATGATGACCTTGATGACAGAATTTCCTGTATCTGTCGTCTTTATTCACGCTCTTGGTAAAAAACTGGGGAATTGAAGCTGAACCAGAGAACTTCTTACTTGTCAAGAAAACTTTGGGTACATTGGAACTGTAACATTGTTTCTTTCCCGATTACTTCAATGATTCTGGTTACTCCCGCAATACTTCAACATTGTTCCACATTGGATGCTTCTGCTCGTTGACCCACAAGTCTTTTTATGGCGGGATGCTAGGACAAAGTTTCCTTCCTATGCACTTAAGATATGAACCAGCACATTATGTATCTCCTTAGCTGTAGTCGTACGATCTTGATGACAGAATCGCTGCATTTTTGTATCCGTTGTCTTTATCCAAGCTCAAAACTTGAATTGAAGATGAACCTGAGAACTTCCTAGAAACATCGGTATTGGGAACACCGGTAATGGTATTGGGTATTGATTGTGGTGGATGGGGTTCTCTCTTGGAAAAACTATGGGGTCACTGGGTACCTGAAGGATCATAGGCTAGATATGTCCTAGGTGCCTTGGGGCTCTTAGTTGTCCAGAAAACTTTGGGTACATTGGAACTGTAACATTGTTTTTCTGGTTACTTCAATGATTCTGGTTAGTTCAACTTCCAATTGGATGCTTCTGCTCGTTGACCCACAAGTCTTTTTATGGTTAGTTTCCTTCTATGCAATACATATCAACCAATATCTATCTCCTTTGCTGTAGTCGCATGATCTTGATGACAGAATCGCTGCATTTTTTGTATCCGTTGTCTTTATTCACGCTCAAAACTTGAATTGAAGCTGAACCTGAGAACTTCCTAGGAACAGCGGTATTGAGAACACACTGGTAATGGTATTGGTTATTGATTGTGGTGGATGGGGGTTCTCTTGGTAAAACTATGGGGTCACTGGGTCCCTGTAGGATCATAGGCTAGATATGTCCTAGGTGCCTTGGGGCTCTTAGTTGTCCAGAAAACTTTGGGTACATTGGAACTGTAACATTGTTTCTTTCCAGTTACTTCAATGATTCTGGTTACTTCCGCAATATACTTTCAATACTTTGCTGTAGTCGTATGATCTTGATGACAGAATCGCTGCATTTTTGTATCCGTCGTCTTTATTCAATCTCAAAACTTGAATTGAAGATGAACCTGAGAACTTCCTAGGAACAGCGGTATTGGGAACACCGGTAATGGTATTGGTTATTGATTGTGGTGGATGGGGGTTCTCTTGGTAAAACTATGGGGTCACTGGGTACCTGAAGGATCATAGGCTAGATATGTCTAGGTGCCTTGGGGCTCCTAGTTGTCCAGAAAACTTTGGGTACGTTGGAACTGTAACATTGTTTCTTTCCAGTTACTTCAATGATTCTGGTTACTCCCACAATATTTCAACATTGTTCCACATTGGATGCTTCTGCTCGTTGACCCACAAGTCTTTTTATGGCGGGATGCTAGGACAAAGTTTCCTTCCTATGCACATAAGATATCAACCAGCACATTATCTATCTCCTTTGCTAGTAGTCGCATGATCTTGATGACAGAATCGCTGCATTTTTGTATCCGTCGTCTTTATTCAAGCTCCACATGCGCATTAAATCATGATATGATTCTTTTTGAATGTTTGTGATAGAACTGTGTTTAATCCCCAATGCAAGAGTCATTGCGACGTGTCTACATTAGTCGGTGTGAAGAAAATCTTTCCATGGTGTGAATAATTAATTCTAATGATGTTTTTCCCTTAGCGTGTTGCACATTATGTTCATCTAAGAGTACGGTGAAGAAACATTAATTGTATAGAATAAATGGTTGTGCTGTCTCAGGGGAAATATGCCATGAGAAGCATATGTTAACTTCATCTTTTTATACTTTTTCATCTGCAGCGCTGCGAATGTCTACGGAAAACGACTATTGCGTTCCGAACCTCGTCGCTGCCCTCTGCTGTCCGTTCCGCGGCGTCTCTCCCTCCCTTTTGTTTATGAGGAGACGTTGCACTTTGTGTATTGATGCACCTGCATTGCCGGCACGGCCCGTCAGATTGTTTTCTGATTTACCGCCCACTACCTGCAGATCAGCAAAACTGATCAATTGTATCCCATTGTCTGTAGGATGCGCGTATCACTCTCTATTACTAGATTCGTCCGTTCTGGGGAGTTATTAAATCATTTGACCCTCGCCCTCTAATTCCAAGCTCTCATGATTAAAGAGCTCTCTCCAAGTGCATCAGTAACCTTGACTGTGCCGGCCCTGCATTACATGGTAAGTACGGATTCATTGCTATGAAGTATTGTTATGTAATATTGTGTGCCAGGGTCATGCAGCAAAATGAATCTTAGCTGAATACCAATGTATCCAGTCTTGTGGAACAATCATGTAGGAAGATGTCGGGGTATGACTACAATAGGCCCAGAGGATGCTGTTGTCACAAAGTCTATGTGCGCCAATGACAAACCCTTAACATAGTTACATAGTTAGTCTGGCTGAAAAAAAAGACAAAAGTCCATCCAGTTCAACCATTAAAAAAAAAAAAAGTTATAATCCGACACCCACAGTTGATCCAGAGGAAGGCAAAAAAAATCCCAGCAAAGCACGATCCAATTTGCTCCTGCAGGGGAAACATTCCTTCCTGATCCCCGAGAGGCAATCGGATATTCCTGGGATCAATAATCGGATATTCCCTGGATCAACTTTCCCTATAAATGTTATATCCAGTTATATTCTGTGTATCCAAGAAAGAATCCAGGACTTTCCTACAGCAATCCACTGAGCTGGGCCACACCCACCTCTGGAGGGAGTCTATTCCACATTCTCACAGCTCTTACTGTGAAGAAACCTTTCCGTGTTTGGAGATGACATTTCTTTTCCTCCAGACGTAAAGCGCGCCCCCTTGTCCTCTGTGATGACCTCAGGGGGAATAACTACACCGAGTTCACTATATGAACCACTGATGTATTATACATGGAGATCATATCCCCCCTTATGTATTATACATGGAGATCATATCCCCCCTTATGTATTATACATGGAGATCATATCCCCCTTATGTATTATACATGGAGATCATATCCCCCCCTTATGTATTTATACATGGAGATCATATCCCCCCCTTATGTATTATACATGGAGATCATATCCCCCCTTATGTATTATACAGGGAGATCATATCCCCCTTATGTATTATACATGGAGATCATATCCCCCCTTATGTATTATACATGGAGATCATATCCCCCTTATGTATTATATACATGGAGATCATATCCCCCCCTTATGTATTCTACATGGAGATCATATCCCCCCTTATGTATTATACATGGAGATCATATCCCCCCTTATGTATTATACATGGAGATCATATCCCCCTTATGTATTATACATGGAGATCATATCCCCCCCTTATGTATTATACATAGAGATCATATCCCCCCTTATGTATTATACATGGAGATCATATCCCCCTTATGTATTATACATGGAGATCATATCCCCCCCTTATGTATTATACATAGAGATCATATCCCCCCTTATGGATTATACATGGAGATCATATCCCCCCTTATGGATTATACATGGAGATCATATCCCCCCTTATGGATTATACATGGAGATCATATCCCCCCTTATGTATTATACATGGAGATCATATACCCCCCCTTATGTATTATACATAGAGATCATATCCCCCCCTTATCATATCCCCCCCTTATGTATTATACATTATACATGGAGATCATATCCCCCTTATGTATTAAACATAAGATCATATCCCCCCTTATGTATTATACATGGAGATCATATCCCCCCTTATGTATTATACATGGAGATCATATCCCCCCCCTGATGTATTATATATGGAGATCATATCCCCCCCTTATGTATTATACATGGAGATCATATCCCCCCCTTATGTATTATACATGGAGATCATATCCCCCCTTATGTATTATACATGGAGATCATATCCCCCCTTATGTATTATACATGGAGATCATATCCCCCCTTATGTATTATACATGGAGATCATATCCCCCCATGGAGATCATATCCCCCCTTATGTATTATATACATGGAGATCATATCCCCCCTTATGTATTATACATGGAGATCATATCCCCCCCTTATGTATTATACATGGAGATCATATCCCCCCTTATGTATTATACATGGAGATCATATCCCCCCCTTATGTATTACATGGAGACATGGATTATCATGGATCATATCCCCCCCTTATGTATTATACATGGAGATCATATCCCCCTTATGTATTATACATGGAGATCATATCCCCCTTATGTATTATACATGGAGAGATCATATCCCCTCTTATGTATTATACATGGAGATCATATCCCCCTTATGTATTATACATGGAGATCATATCCCCCTTATGTATTATACATGGAGATCATATCCCCCCCTTATGTATTATACATGGAGATCATATCCCCCCTTAATCTCCTCTTCTCAGTAGAGAATACATTCAGTTCCTCTAATCTTTCCTCATAGCTGATCTCCTCCATGCCTCGTATCAGTTTGGTTGCCCTTCTCTGTACTTTCTCCAGTTCCCCAATGTTCTTTTGTGAATTGGAGCCCAAAACTGAACTGCATATTCCAGATGAGGTATTACTAATGATTTGTACCGGGGGGAGGGTGGGTGTTTTCTCTCTCCATCGAGATCTGCTCTTCCTCCTGCCTTCCATCTAGACCTCCAATGTAAGGGACATTCTTCCCACTGACCCCTAATGTAAGGGACATTCTTCCCACTGACCCCCAATGTATGGAACATTCTTCCCACTGACCCCCAATGTAAGGGACATTCTTCCCACTGACCACCAATGTAAGGGACATTCTTCCCACTGACCCCCAATGTAAGGGACATTCTTCCCACTGACCCCCAATGTAAGGGACATTCTTCCCACTGATCACCAATGTAAGGGACATTCTTCCCACTGACCCCCAATGTAAGGGACATTCTTCCCACTGATCACCAATGTAAGGGACATTCTTCCCACTGACCACCAATGTAAGGGACATTCTTCCCCCTAATCACCAATGTAAGGGACATTCTTTCCCACTGACCACCAATGTAAGGGACATTCTTCCCACTGACCACCAATGTAAGGGACATTCTTCCCACTGACCCCCAATGTAAGGGACATTCTTCCCACTGACCCCCAATGTAAGGGACATTTCTTCCCACTGACCACCAATGTAAGGGACATTCTTCCCACTGACCCCCAATGTAAGGGACATTCTTCCCACTGACCCCCAATGTAAGGGACATTCTTCCCACTGACCCCCAATGTAAGGGACATACTTCCCACTGACCACCAATGTAAGGGACATTCTTCCCACTGACCCCCAATGTAAGGGACATTCTTCCCACTGATCACCAATGTAAGGGACATTCTTCCCACTGACCACCAATGTAAGGGACGTTCTTCCCACTGACCACTGAAGGGACATTCCCACTGACCCCCAATGTAAGGGACATTCTTCCCACTGACCCATGTAAGGGACATTCTTCCCACTGATCACCAATGTAAGGGACATTCTTCCCACTGACCACCAATGTAAGGGACATTCTTCCCACTGATCACCAATGTAAGGGACATTCTTCCCACTGATCACCAATGTAAGGGACATTCTTCCCACTGATCACCAATGTAAGGGACATTCTTCCCACTGACCCCCCCAATGTAAGGGACATTCTTCCCACTGACCCCCCAATGTAAGGGACATTCTTCCCACTGATCACCAATGTAAGGGACATTCTTCCCACTGACCACCAATTGGTTTACTCTATGCTGCTTGTATATCCTACAGGAATCTGGTCTGGGACCTGTTTAGTCATACAGGGGCTTTCTCTCTGTTCTATTAGAAACAACTAAAACAACTTTTGGTCGCCTTCATCTGAATGCTGCGGTTGGTCTTCCTACAGACATGGCGCATTTTCACATCTCGGTATACAATGACCTCACAAGACAAAGGCAAGCTCAGCGACAACTCCTTCCTCTGAATTTCCTCCTCTGTTTTGTCCCGGTTATTCTTAGCTGCTGGACTGATTGAAGTTCTTACACTGGAAACATGTTCTCCTTTCCCGTATTGTATTCCTTTTCCAACACTAAAGCGGAGAAGAGAGATTGATCCATCTAAGGCCGTCAGATCTCTTGTATATGCAGGATCTCTGTCTGGCCCCGTCTGGTGTCACACAATAGCCCCGCACTGTACGGTAAATACATCTCAGACAGGTGAGCAAGAAAAGTCTCCGCTTTCCTTCTCATCATTTCACCTTTTTGATTCGTCGCAGTTTGATCTGCGTTTTAATATCAATCTTCTACCAATGGCTTTGATTTCACCTAGAAATAAACATGTGGATGCAGACCAACAGAACGGCCCCAATTATCTTCTCCCTGCCTGTCTCTTAATTTGTACTTTTTTTTTTTTTTTTTCGTTTTGAGCTTATTTTTTACTTTTTGTAGCTAAAATAACGATAAAACAAATCAAAGAACCAAAAAAAAAAAATCTGCAAGGAGATACCTAAAAGGCAAAAAAAAGAAAAGAAAAGAGGAAAACTTTTCTAAATACATGTTCCCAGCCGGTGAAAAGACTTAATAACAAGGTCTAACGCTTCAGAAAAAATGGCCAAAGAATGGCGCGCGCGGCGTCTGGGACTTGTGGGTAGCGAACATTGATCTTGGTGAATGGGGGAACCTATTACAGCATTCTGGATTGATACCCCCCGCAGAGTGAGTCCGGGCTTGCCAAGCTTTGCACAGATACAAAGAGATCTGAAGGGTCCATTAAACAAAACGATAGACGGGCCACATAAAAAGGCGTGGAATGCGTAGAAATCAGCGGTTCGTTATCGCTTTCTGCAAAGTGCTAAATACCGCAATTACCCTTTTGAACTGCCTTTCGTAAGCAATTCTGTTCCTGAGGTCCGCGGAAGCAAAAGGGTTCACTCCGGGTTGAAATAAAGTCTTTGAGTAAAGCTGTACATTGGATTTATTGGAAATGCTGCTGCACTGCAGAGATTAAGGACGATATAGATGTTCTGCGAGCAACGCTTTCACAATTTATCTCAGCTGCCAGGCCACGGAAGTGGCAAAAAAAAAAGTAGATATCTGGTTTAAAGTGCAAGCTCTGAAGCTGACTTTGTTTTAAGTTTGCTTTTTAATGAATGATGGATGAATACATCATTGGCAAAGGGGGTGGAGAGGTGTTCTTTTGGTACGGTGAAAGATTAAAGAAGCTTTTTCCAGTAGCTCTGTTCTCAGATTATTCACACTCAAGTATTTACAGATTCTGAACAAGCAGTAAAAGCATTTCGAAGCAACCCCTCACTCACCTCTGTGGCTATAAGCATTTTGGAGAAATCCATCTTCAAAGTGCACAAGGCAGGCACTGAAATATGAGTTATTTTCAAGCCATCTAATGTAAACACACAGTAGATGTTTCCAGTCTTTTTTTAACACGGAGGCGGGGGGGGGAACCCTGGGAAATAACTTATCGGCCTCAGAAATAGGAAACAAAGCCACCACACTGGTGGCCACTGAAATAAAGGGTGGCCATTGGAAGAAAGACTCACACTGGTGGCCATTGGGAGAAGGAACAATTTACAGTGGTGGCGATTGGGAGAAGGACCCACTTACATTAGTGGTCATTGGGAGAAGTTTGATCATTGGGTGAATGGTGGCCATTGGCAGAAGAACCAACTTACATAGGTGGCTACTGTTTCCTAGGTGGTTTCAAGGTTGTAACTCTTCCTTAGAGCCAGGCTGGAAACGCGTCAGCCACCAGCTATCTAAAGGTCTACAGTCCCCCCCCCCAGACCACCTTCAGGGGTTTTGGACCACTTTGCATCCCTTGCGACATGCTTTACATTTGATTTTATTTCTCTGGTGAGTATTTTACTTTTTATAAATAAATCTCATTATTAAAGGTAATGCACTCGGCCCGCGCCCTCTTTTTGTTTCCTATATACAGTTCTCTTTGGATTTCCCTGGTCCGTTGAGGGCAGCGAGGCTTGCATTCCTTTCCTACTCATGTGGGGATATTGACATTGTGGAGTCCACTGTCCAGCGCAGGAGCTCAGGCATTCGGTTGCTTTTTTCTTCTTTATAGGTCTCAGAAACCCTGACAATAATTATCTGTACAGCACAGGGGACATTCGCATAGTTACATAGGTGGTCAGGTTGAAAAAAAAAGACACAAGTATATCTAGTTCAACTAACAGAAAAAAGTTTTAAATAAATAAATAAATAAGCAAGTTGATGCATTGTGGTCCAAAACCCCTGAAGGTGGTCTGGTGGGGGACTGTAGACCTCTAGATAGCTGGTGGTTGATGTGTTTCGAGGTTGTAACTCTTCCTTAGAGCCAGGCTCGAAACATGTCAGTCACCAGCTATCTAGAGGTCTACAGTCCCCCACCAGACCACCTTCAGGGGTTTTGGACCACTTTGCATCCCTTGCGACATGCTTTACATTTGATTTTATATCTCTGGTGAGTATTTTACTTTTTATAAATAAATCTCATTTTTAAAGGTAATGCATTCGGCCCGCGCACCCTCTTTTTGTTTCCAATATACAGCTCTCTTTGGATTTCCCTGGTCCGTTGAGGGCAGCAAGGCTTGCATTCCTTTCCTACTCATGTGGGGATATTGACATTGTGGAGTCCACTGTCCAGCGCAGGAGCTCAGGCATACGGTTGCTTTTTTCTTCTTTATAGGTCTATAGGAAACCCTGACAATAATTATCTGTACAGCACAGGGGACATTCGCATAGTTACATAGGTGGTCAGGTTGAAATAAAAAGACACAAGGACATCTAGTTCAACTAATAGATAAAAGTTTAAATAAATAAATAAATAAGCAAGTTGATGCAATGTGGTCCAAAACCTCTGAAGGTGGTCTGGTGGGGGACTGTAGACCTCTAGATAGCTGGTGGTTGACGCGTTTCGAGGTTGTAACTCTTCCTTAGAGTCAGGCTCGAAACATGTCAGCCACCAGCTATCTAGAGGTCTACAGTCCCCCACCAGACCACCTTCAGGGGTTTTGGACCACATTGCATCCCTTGTGACATGCTTTACATTTGATTTTATTTCTCTGGTGAGTATTTTACTTTTTATAAATAAATCTCATTATTAATGGTAATGCACTAGGCCCGCGCACCCTCTTTTTGTTTCCAATATACAGTTCTCTTTGGATTTCCCTGGTCCGTTGAGGGCAGCGAGGCTTGCATTCCATTCCTTCTCATGTGGGGATATTGACATTGTGGAGTCCACTGTCCAGCGCAGGAGCTCAGGCATTGCTTTTGTCTTCTTTATCGGTCTCAGAAACCCTGACAATAATTATCTGTACAGCACAGGGGACATTCGCATAGTTACATAGGTGGTCAGGTTGAAAAAAAAAGACACAAGGACATCTAGTTCAACTAATAGATAAAAGTTTAAATAAATACATAAATAAATAAATACACAATGGAAAAATACTAAAATAATAAGGCATGGTACATACTTTGTGTATTTGACTTCCCCTCTATAATTATTTTCAGTAATTGTAACAAAAAATAACAATAAAGACCATAAAAGAAACTCAAACAGTTAACACTGTACTGTATTTAGTGAAGTGTCTGCTTGTACCTGGTCAGTAAAAGGCTACATTGCTGGTCAGTGGGATAAAGTCCATCTTATGCTGATGGTCATTGGGGGAAGGGTAGTCATAGGGAGAAGTATGTTGGTGGGGAGGGACCTATTTACACTGGTCACCACTGGGAGAAGGACCCTCAAACACTGGTGGCTATTAGGAGAAGGACCCACTTACATCGGTGGTCATTTGTTGAAGGGTGGCCATTGGGTAAATTGTGGGCATTGCGAGAAGGACCCACTTACACTAGTGGTCAATAAGAGAAGGACCCACTTACACTGGTGGTCACTGAAAGAAGGGTGGTCATTGGGAGAAAGACTCACTTACACTGGTGGCCACTGAAAGAAGGGTGGCCATTGAGAGAAAGACTCACTTACAACTGGTGGCCACTGAAAGAAGGGTGGCCGTTGAGAGAAAGACTCACTTTCACTGGTGGCCATTGGGAGAAGGACAAATTTACACTGGTGGCTATTGCGAGAAAGACACACCTACACTAGTGATCAATAAGAGAAGGACCCACTTACACTGGTGGTCACTGAAAGAAGGGTGGGTTCTGACTACTGGCTCATCCCTGACCATCCTTCTGCCTGATCCTCTGTACTGCGCTGTCCAGTGAGTTACTGGAACCCGGCTTTTGACCCTGACCATTCTCTGCCTGCTCCTTTGATACCTTGCTACCCGCACGTTACTGACTTGGCCCGTTGACCACGCTCACTACTCTGCCATCCATCCATCCTTGCACGGATCCAGCCGTACCTGCACATACCTCTGGCGGATCCCTCTATCACTAGCAGGTGTACTCAGGGGGCCGCGACCTGGTTCCTGTCTGCTCCAAGTCCATCCCCACTTACATCAGGGGCCCTGGTGAATAGCAGACTGGGACTTAGACTCCACGCCCTGGGGAATCCTGCCCTGAGGACAGCTAGAGGTACCCACCAGGCAGTCGTTACAGAACCCTACGGCCGGCCTGACCATTCCACCTCTCCAGCCCTGACTACGCCTGTGTTCCTGCACCTCCTAAGATTAGTGGAAGGTTAGTTTGCTCACTGTGCGTTTATATATATATCTGGGTGGCTAATTAACCTGTATTATACTATACCTGAAACCTGTGTTTCCCTGTGTCAGTCCACACCTTTCTGGTCTCT